AGTTATTGTATGCATCAATTTTGAAATTTGCATTGAGTTAAAATTTAAAATAATGTTAAATAATTATGTACTTACTCTGCCCAAATGAAATTTTATAATATGCTAATTATTTCGTTAAAATTATTTCATTGCTCATAATTAACATAATTGCATTTTTGTAATAAATATTCTTATGATATAAATGATAATAATGTCATGATAAAATTGTTGATTGTATTAAATTATAATAAATAAATATGAGATCTAGATTTTTTATTATGAATTTTGATCTTAATAGGTATTACGTTAAAGTTAGCTTATAGTTAATGTGGAGAGTATACTTGATATTTTCTTTAGCGGAAGAGATATAATTGATTTTGGGTGATATTGAAGTTATTATGGAGTCAATGGAAGATATGTGCTTAGTTTTTTATATCAGGATACGAGTTTGTTTTGAAATAAACTATCTATAAGGCCTCTTATAAAGTTTTTTGATTTTTATCTTGTTTGGATCACCTTGAATTTTAATTTTAATTTTGGTGATGGAAAAATAATGTTAAACTCTCAAGTCACTGGCTATGAGTTTTATTTAATTATATGTTTTGTGGATGACTTAATTACTAAGTACATGACCCTTTAATCGAAAGACTTAGGCCCATGATATTTAAAATGCATGTGAAGAAGATGGGTATAGTGAGTTCCCTTGAATTAGTTGATTAGTGGGAGTATGAATTATTTATTATCTTACAGTGTTGAACCATTTATTTTGGATATAATTGATGTTTGGAAAAGATAAATTATTTTGGAGCAATTGATAATGCTTTGAGTTTTATTATTGTATATATTGAGTACATGTATTTATGTTTATCAATTGAGAAATATTTTAGAACTCAGTGTCGTTGGGACCACCATGCCTGTGGTTGACACTATATTGAAATTTGAGGCATGATTTTAGAACTCAGTGTCGTTGGAACTATCATGTCTGTGGTTGACACTATATGGGAGTTTGAGACTTAATGGTGTTGTTTATAACACCCCTAACTTAAATAATTTAATTAATTACTTTCAATTAAGTAATTAAACATGTATTAATGAGTAAAATTAAGTATAGGGCCTAATTAAGTGATATGGGGTCACTTTTGAGGTAAAAAGTGTACTCAGTTAAAATTAAGGGGTATAAATGGGTGTAGGCAAAAGTACCCAAAATATAAAAATGAAAGTGGAAATATTCCTAGAAAAATATTCCAGACATTTGGGTAAAGTTTGGTAATTAATGGAGTTGAATAGATAGACGAACCAATACCCGCTTAAAGCCACTTAACATATGTTAAGTGACCAAGCAACAAAAAAGAAGAACTCAAATCCCTTCCCCAACCCGTCTTCCCCAACCCGTCGAGCCACAAGAAAGAAAGAAAGAAAGAAGAGGAGGAGAAGAAGAGAAGGAGAAGAGGGAGGGTGGTCCAAACCCTAGCTCCATCATATCTCAACCAAATTCATCCATTCCAAAGCCAAAAACGTAGGCAATCATTCCCTCATCCCAAATCCTAGCTTAGTTTTGAGTGAGAAGCTTTGTGGAGAGTGATTTCTCCCTCCAAAGATTTCGGTCCTTTGGTGTTTTGAGGAGTTTTGTGGCACCTCCACCCATGGGAGCTTAGGAGGCCTCTATTGCTTGGTTATGTGACCTATTGTGGTAAGTTTCCACTTCTCCAACCTTGTGTTCATGGAGTTTTCTAGAGGTTGAAGATGATGAATAGTGTTTTTTGGGGTTTTATGAGTTTGAGTTTGATGGAGGCTTGGTGCCTTTGTAAATGTTGTTAGTGATGATAAATAAATGGTAGAAATGAGTTTAGATTGTCATTTGAGTATGGTTTGACATTTGAGTAAATTATGCTTGAGATTAAGGATGCTCTTGAATGTTAAGATATTGTTTGATTATAGAATTGATTGTGTTCCTTGTATTAATATGATTGAGGCAAGAGAACCAAGTGGAGTGACCAACCCTAGTGGTTGTGTGCAATTGAGGAAAGCTCAAGAGCAAGGTAAACCTTTGGACCTTGGGGTTGATCCCATTGAGTGTTCCACCATACTCCGTTGAGAAGAAATGGTTTATGAGATGTGATATGTAATTATGATAGTAATTGTATGCTCATGCATTGATTCATGCATTGATACATGTTATGATTGATTAATGATTATTGGTTGATGTTTGATTGTTTAAGAGTAATTGAGGAATGGTTATAGAAGTAGAAACAATGAATGAGGTAATGGTTGAGGGTTGTGATTGAGGTTATGAGTGATAGTATTATGATGAGGATGATTGGTAGGAACTTCCCTTGGAAACAGCCCAATGGGGATCTCTATGTGGTTAGAGCCTAAGAGAAACAGCCCTATGTGGATCTCTCTTGGAGGTTCCTAGATTGAGGAAAGGACTTCCCTTGGAAACAGCCCTAGGTGGATCTCCATGTGGTAAGAGTCTAAGAGAAACAGCCCTTTGAAATCTCTCTTGGAAGTCCATATAATGGTTAAGGATGAGAATGTGTTGAACAGTTATGATTATGTGTACATCGAAAGTGAACCTTAGGGTGGAGTGATCTCCAAGGACCTCTGGTTTACTGTGATATATTCGTATATCTCACCCCGTGTTGTGGGGCATCATTTCAGGTGCTGATAGAGGTGCGGTTGATCGAGGCAAGAAGCATGAGTAGACTGTACCGGATAGCTGGATATTTTGAGTTGCATGCCATTTATATTTGCTATATGTATATTTTGATGTCACATTATGTATTTTGAGGGTCTTAGTGCATGATCGTTGTAGTGATGAATGCCTTGTTGTAAATGACTTATAACTTTGATCATGTTCCTTTTGTAGCTAAGTCCTTTGGCATATATATGAGAATTGTAATTAAGACCTGATGTAGTGTTGTAATTAATGGAGATATATGTATGATGAAATGATATGCTTGCTCCTCTTAATGTATGTGTACTTTGAAAGATTAGAATTCATGTATCGGAAGGACTATATGATGCCAATTAGGTGAAAGAGGACCATGGGTTTGAAAATCCATGTAGAAATAAAGACATCCTATCTTGTTGTCCATTTTTCGTATTCCATATGATAGATTTGGACCCTTGTGTCTTTATAGAAGTTGTAGACAATCTTCTTAGCTTTCCATAGAGACCAAGATTGTGTAATTTGGATAAGTATAACTAAAGTTATGGATGAAACACCTTAGGTAGGTCAAAATACCTATTTTGGTCATCCAGCCCTGTTGTGTGGCGCCAGAGGCGCCAACTGCCAAAACTAGGCAGTAGCATTGGCGCTGAGGGCGCCACTGTGGCGCTTGGGGCGCCAACTTTCTGCCTCCTGGGACAATTTCACGCTACGAGCGTGGGATCCCACGCTATGAGCATGGGAGTCCTGCAAATTTCTGCACCCTTTTCTTAGAAAATGCATAACTTGAGCTACGGTACTCCGATTTGAGCGCGGTTTGAACCCACGCGTAGCTAATGAAGAATCCTATAATATTTTGGGAAGATTGAGACCATAAAGTCAGTATAGGAATTTCTTAAGTAAACAAAGAATGGATACGTATAGTGTGAGATGAGAACTATAAGGAAGTACAAGTTTTACAATTTAATAAAAAGCGAAGAGAGTTTAGTATTGAACTCGAGTAAATAATAATATGATGTTAAGTCTAGTTCTGATTATTCCGCAAGGTAATACGGTTATGGTCACACAATTGGTTATTTTAAACTCGGCAGTGTTAATGAGGAAAAACAAGTACGTTTTAAAAAAGAAAATGAAAATTTACCCGGGTTTTTAATTATTGAACCGATGTGATTGTAACTGCGCTTAATATCATGAAGCAATGTTAACAAACCGGTTATAGAACGGGGTGTTACATTGTTAGGACTACAAGGCCTGTAGTCGACACCATATTTGATTATATGATAGTTTTTTTGATAAACCATGAAATTTCTCTGGCTTTAAGGCATTTGAGAGAAATTTGAGGATTGACAGAGAAAATAACAGTTTGGCTGTTGTTGGATCACATTATCGTATTATTTTCTTGTTATACTCCACACTAATGACTAGTTGACGGAGTCAAGTAACATTTGTGACCATGGAAGGTCTTATATCGGTAAGAGTATAATCACCGCTTGATTCAATGTTATTTGATTTTAGTTAGATGGAGTCATATTCAGATATTGCACCTTGGATCATGTGTTTTCTCAAAAAATGTGGCCACATTATAAAAATTAGTACTAAGCGGGAGAGTCGCTTTCAAATAACTTATTTTTCTTTTATTTTTTATTTTAATTAAAATTTTACAATTGATTTTGTCCAAGTTGGAGAACGTTAAAAATTTTATAATCATTGTGGGCTTCAATCAATTGTAGTTTTTCTTATTTTAATAAAAACGGGTTAAGACATTATCTATATAGGGTGCAGTATAAAGCCCATTTAATTAAGTGACCATTTGGTTTGGGTTTGGATATCTGTAAACTGATTAGTGTGGGTAACAGTATAGGCCTAACTCATAGTCCCATGATGGGAAGGAGACTAGGGTTAATAAGTTTGGCTAGGTCCCCTCTGCATTCACAGTGTGTTGAAAAACCGTCACTTCACAACTTGCCCCTTTGAAAGTTGTGAACATGGAGTGATGTGAATTATAGAGAAAGATCCTGGCCCTTTAACCTTTGCAGGAATATAGAGCAAACACTACAACTGAGATATCAAGAATGTGTCGTCAATAAGTAAGCCTAAACTCTTTGGTGTTCTAATTTCATATCATCTCTTCTTGAAATTTCTTACAGTTTTTTTGAGCTTTAATCCAACAATAGCCTAGCCATGAGACAACAGGGAGGGTAAAAAATACAGAAAGAGAAAGCATAAATCTTACAATCCTCAACCTATACAACTCTAAACTCTTTTCAATTTCTCAGTTTTTTTTATCAACAGATTGAGTCTTTAAAAAACCAAAAAACAAAAAACAAAAACCAGAATTCACATTGAACAGAGCAGTTAACCTTCATAGCTATTGCAGTCAAATCTATAGTTTACAAGGACAAGGAAATTAAGAGCACAAAGAAACCCGGCCCCAGGAAATTGTGGTCATCTACGATAATAGTCTCTCTAACTATCTGACATTCTGACTAACAACTGTCTTCTACACCAAACTTCCATCATCATCATCATCATCATCATAATCATCTAAACACCTTCAGATTTCACAATTTGAGGACTAATCTATAGCTGCTCATTTTCCCAGCTTAGTTTAGAGGCAACTCTTTCGTGTTGTGGGAAATATTCCTGTACGGGTTAAACCAAATCTCATAAGTTGCAATAGTTAAAGAAATCTGAAGGAAATATAGCTCAACTGCTATGGCAAACAAGAACAAAATAAGGGATGGCATTATGGCAATTACCTCCATATTTTTGACAAGCTCTTTTGGTGTTGGGGCAGACACAATTATATGGCGAGCTGTGGGGCTTATGAAGCCTTCCTCCACAGCTTTGTCAATGAAAGACAAAAAGGTATTGTAGTATCCATCAACATTGAGCAATCCCACCTTACAAAACCAAAACTTTGATTTAATACATTTTTTGTCACATAAAAAATATGGTAACAAGATACAGCAATTTTCATTATTATATTTCTAAGATACAATGGAAGTTCAGCTTTTTCGAGAAGGAACAAAAAATCTTTGAAGCATGAGGAGGGACTTTACCGGTTTATCATGGATGCCAAGTTGAGCCCAAGTTATCACCTCAAGGAGCTCCTCAAGTGTCCCATAGCCACCTTCATGCGCATAAAGGATATATAATTATAGAGTTTTATAAGAATTATGTTGTAAGAAAAGTAATTGTGTTATGTTATAGAGATTCATTTTGCGTGTCGAAGTTTTTTTTTATTTTTTTTGCTGCAAGCCCCACAAAATTTGTGTGTGTAGGAAATTTTTTATAGTCATGTCAAATGATAAATGATAAACCCATAATTATATATCACAATTACGGGCTTACAAAAATGATTGTATAAGGCTTTCAAGTGTCCCATAGCTCCTCAAGTAATTTTTGGTCCTATAACTATTTATAATTGTAAAAATGCTTTCAAAAGGACCAAAACGGCTTTCCTTAGAAAAGAAAAATTTCAAACATTAGGTGTTGTGAAAAAAATATGAATCATACAATCTAACCTCGGGTGAGTCAAATTAAAATTTTAATGAATCTAATGTTAGTTTTAAGCTTTAATTTAAACCTTATAATATGGGTAAGTGTAAAAGCAACTTATATTAAATTGTATGAAAAAACCTGAAATAACTTTATATAAAACACGTGGGAAATTGTTGTTACACACGGTGCACTATAAGTTAGGGTGAGTGGACAATTGATTTGATATTGTTAAACCTTATCTCATCTTAGAATTTTTGTCACGTAACGCACAATGAAGTAGTGCATCACGTAAGTTCAAAAATCTCTTTGGACAATGTACGGTGTTTGTCCCTGACATGTCTAAATTCCACCCGTGGAAGAAGTTTTATTTTTCATTTCCTTTTTAGAAAAAAAAGGGAATCCATCACTAAAATCACTAAAGTGAAGTGCGGGTGTGGTCTACAAAAAGTCAAGGATAGAAAACACTACAGAGCACATAGCAATAGACACCTCACACGTGCAAAATTTGTGACGTGTAACAGTGTCAAGCAAGAAAACTCAAGAAGATCATAACTTGAAAATGTTCAATTGGACTATAATTTTTCCCACTTAAACATTTTTAATAATATATATATACATATAAATAATGAATTTAATTTTTTTACATTATAGGAAATAAATTTATTTTATATATATATATAAAGTGTATAAAATTTATGTGAGAAGAAGAGAAAAAAAATATTTTTATGAGTATATAAGAGATAAATTTATCTCCTAGAAAAATAATAAATCCATTAATAATAAATGAAATCATAATTTAAATCAGGTAGCTTTTTTCTAAGTCAAATTCATGTGAGTTAAATAGAGCATAATAATAACAATATTGAATCATGTGATGTAATATTTATAAATGTCTGTAACAAGAAATATTGGGATAACAAGGTTTTATTGTACCAACCAGGTAAAGCAATAAAGGCATCGGAATGTCTAGCCATCTCGGCTTTCCTTTGATGCATGTCTGCCACTGTCTTAACTTCTCCCACTGTTTCTCCAGTAAGCTACAAAACGCAAGTAACCCAAATCAATCCAAATTATCACATAAACATATAGTAAAATAGAAACAGCTTTTGCGCGTGTGTGAGAGAAGAGTCTTGCAAGAATGAATGGAGTATAAAGAAGGTGAGAGGTTAAGTGTAATGATGAGTGTTGCAGTTCTGCAGAAGTGGGCTCAATTGGAAATCATATAACTAGGCTTTTTTTTTTATCCTCGGGAGAAGAAATAAACATTGTAAGAAAGTTTACTTCCTCAATGATAAGAAAATGGGGGAACACTGGCTCAGCTCAGTTGGCGTATGGGAACTAAGCAGGTGAGAATGAAAGTATGTGTTTGAATTTCTTCAGTATCATTTTCGGGAGAGGTTTAAAGCTTTAATCCTGAACCCGCCCCGAATCGAATTAATTGCGAAACAATGAATCAATTAAAATATCTTCAAAAAAAGAAAATGGGGAAATAAAACAAGGAATGCTATAAGAATCTTAAAGAGGTTATACGGAACTTGGGAGAGAAGGACAAAATGGTTCAGAAGGAAAGACCCTAGATTGCCAGGTGTATAAATGGTGGATAATTTTATAGAGAGACGCAAATGTGAACTCAAATACAATGTGTAAGAAGCAACCACAAATCCCACTTAGAACCGCATACAAAAAACACCACAAAAGACAAGTGTGGAACTCAGATATTCGGATAATAAAAGTATGGTGGAAAATCACTTGAAATAGGCTACAAAGAATTTGAATAAGGGTGGAAGAAGAGCATATTGTGGTAGAGAGGGGAAAGATATAAGATAATTCTCTCTTGTCTCTCGTTCTCCGTGTCCACTTGCATAGCTGTTTGGTCATTTTCTTTTTCTTTTTTTATTAGCAATGATGATTGGTGAAATGCTTCCAAAACACCTTAACATTACCTCTCTTGGCATAAGTGTCTTGGGAATAACTCTGCACACAAAAAGCAAAACAAAAATTAATTGAGTTTTGAACAAAATACATCATTAACAGAAATCATGATGAAGAATAGAAGATGCTCACCCAATTACATGGCGACCGCCATCGTAAACAGCATGAGAAATCAAGCCCATCAAACCAATGCTGCCTCCTCCATAAACTAGATCAATATTTCTTGACACCTTTTGAGATACCAAACAATAGCACCCAAAATAGAGAATTAAGACCAAGAAAGATGTATGCTAGTATAGACAAAAGTACAAAACAATGAAATATTCATTAAAAAGCAGAGAAACTGAAATGAAAACTTAAAAAAGTTTGTAGTTTAGATGGTGTCACAAATGACATTTCTTTCTCACTTTCCTTTATTATGTAACTGAAATGTAGATGAAAGAAATGACGAGACATCATGTATCAAGGAACACCAAGAAGAAGACCCAAGTTGTACTAGCAGTGTAAAAATTTAAGAGAAAATATAATTTGTAGGAAGAAAGGTTGGATGACATTAGAAGAGAGTATTTAAGAGAAGTAGAAGCTTTTATAATAGAATTCCTCCAAAGAGAAGCAGAGCAAATAAGAGAGAGGGTGAGAGGGGCATTACCAATTCCCTTCCAAGCTCAATAGCAGCGTCCTTATAACTAGTTTTGTTCCCTGGGCTACTGCCACAGAACACACAAATCCTCTTGAACTTGGATTGCTTCATCTCAGTTGTTTCTCTCTCCATGTGTTTTTTTTTTTTTTCTAGCTCTCACACACTGAATCAACCTATGTGTCCCACGCCTTGACAAAGTGGATGAACGGTTGATGGTGTATGCGTGCACCTATACTATATATATAACTGCAGCACAGGCATACGCTTGCACATATCCTCACCACATCACCAAAGATGACGTTGACTCACCCAACTTGTATGTAGAGAGACTTGATACAATGTTGTTTGTATTTTCTATTTTATCATGGTCCCTTCTACCACCAATGAAAAAAAGAAAAAGAAAAAGAAAAAGAAACTAAAGACAATCCGTGGTCCTGTATGTTGGAAATCGACAACACACAAATCGAAAACAGAAAAGAAGAGAGAGAATAGACACAGCGATTTATCTGGTTCACCCAATTAAGGCTACGTCCTGCTAAGAAAATTACAGTAAAACAGAAGCCCACAATAGTACCTAGCCTCTACGGGCCTGGGGGCGCTACCCCCCGGACCCCCGTCCACTCATCTGGAAGCGGAACCCCAGTTGTCTTTCTACTAATTAGTGCCCTCATCAGCATGCGAAGTATGAGTCATACCCAACACTATGTTAAGATCATTGTGTTTTACTTCTCTTTTCATAAAATTGGTTCTCCTCACGACATTAGTAATAAAATCATCACCGTTGATTTTTTCAACATTATGTTAAATAACATTGGAGAGAAAATGACTAATGACACATTCACACAACCAACCGGTTAAGGATATCCTAGAATTTTCAAATGTCGCTGAACACATAAAATTTTCCTATGTCCTTCGTTAGAGGCATTGGCGACTTGGCTAGTAGCTGGAGATGTAACTTGTGTAAGGCAGAGGAAGTTGACCAAGTATTGGGTAATCTTCAACTTTGTCATAAATCTAGTAGATGTAGATTCTTTTTAATTCTTAACATAGAATTTGGAACTCACTGTATGTGATGGACCCTTTCCCATAATTCCTAGCTAATCCATGGGTATCTTCATCAGGGTTGACTTGTAATCTAGTACCTTATATTATTCTCTTCGTTTTGGCATCCAACTAATCGTGTCCACCCCACCAACTCCTATAATCTATCTCTCTGGCACTGTTTACTGTAATTCTGTAAAAACAAGGAATATAAGTCATCCAAGTCTTACTTACATACACACAAAGTAGTGCCATTTGGCAATGCATGTGTACAACATGTGATACCATATATTATAATATGTAAGATATAAAATAAATTTACACTCACATGTAATGTAACATGGTCTGCATTTAAGCTTACATAATTAGTCTGGTGACCAATTACCCTTGTATGTACCCTCAGCATCCTTCCTTTACTGGACAAACTTGATGCATGTCTAGGAAACATTCATTATTTTTTATCAATCAGATTTAGACTAAGCAGAAAAGAAGTCACTCACCCCCATTCTTATCGTACGTAGGCCAACCTTGCTGTCCCCATATTCTTACATACTCTACTGCTTTGCTGCTTGTCATTAATTATTACTATAGTGGAGTATTTTAAATTATGGGACAGGTTATATTTATAAATTTTTTTGTTTACAAACAACATTATTTTCTTCTGGGAGAACATAGTATAATTTGTAAAAAAATTCAAATTTTTTTTATAAACAGATCCTTCTCCTTAAATTATTATGTGAATTTATACTAAATTATTAGTAATTTTAAAAGGTCAATTTGTTTTGTTTGTTAGATCACTTGTAGACCCATATGGTCAGGACAACAATGCCAATATGGGTTTTATAAGAGTTATGTTATAGGAAAGTGATTGTGTAATGTTATAGAGATTCGTTTTGTGTGTCGTAGTTTTTTTTTTTGTTTCAAAAAGTGTGGGCCCCACAAAATGTTGTGTGTGTAAGAAATTTTATTGTGTCATGTTAAATGATAAATGCAAACTCGTGAGGGAAACTTTTTCACGTATATCCATATATATTCCTATTGAGGAATCCAAATGTGAGTGAGTCAGGTCTTACTTTGGTTAATAATAGACTGAGTGAGCACGATACAAGTGGAAGAACCTGTATATCTAAGAATGGATTTGAGTTTGGTGTCTAAGTCTCTCCCTGCTACGAGCTCCCCTGCTCGCCCAACACTTCCAAAACCCCTTCGTTAATATCCTCATACAAGTTTCTAAGATAGTCAGTTATTTTTGTAAGCTGGATTAATTAAAATCTCAAGTTTGGATGGTTTTGGTGAATTCATCCGTGCAATAATAGATGTTCAGCAGAGTTTAGAGAGAGGACAAATGGTAAATGCGCACTTCACTGACACCAATATTGCTTTGCTCGAGAGGAGTGTTAGGAACAAGCATGTGCCATTCACTCACAGCCATTCTTTGAAAAGAAAAGTATGATCTGCGGTCATACAGAGTCCTATTGGAAAAAACAATCTCCAAGGCCAATAAGAACTCGAAACCTATGAAACCCCGTGACCAAATTGGATTCACCAAATTTGGAAACGTTTTAATCTGTCACAGACTCCAATTTGGTATTATCCTTTTTGTCTCCGTCGTATGCAACAACCTGCCGAATTTTTTGACTAGGTTAATCAATTAGGAACAAGTGATAAGGCGTACACCCATCTCATCTCAGATAAAATGTGTGACATTATGTTGGCAAACAATTGCAATTAGCCTTTACTTTCTTTATCCTTTGTTGGGGGAAAGCATTACACTTGGTTTTCATTAGAAAGAGTAAACACCATTTGTAGTCCCTGTCAATATCTACGAAGTCTTTTTTAGTCCCTGACAATAAAAAAAGACCAAATTGGTCCCTGAAATTACAAAAAAAGAGTCATGTTAGTCCTTATGTCAACTCCCAAATATATAGAGTGGCCCTTTTCTTGTACTTTCAGGGACCAATTTGGTCCTTTTTTATTACCAGGGACTGAAAAGGACTTCGTAGATATTGCCAGGGACTAAAAGGGATGTTTACTCTTAAAGAAATATGTTCAATGAAAGAAACGGGGGATTGTCATTCGACGCGCTGGGTTTGTTAACTAGACTTTTTCGTCAAATTAAAATAAGTGAATCAAACAAGAACCACTCGAACTTATTAGTAGATAAATCATTAGTCAATTCTGGATTGCTGAATTATATTATGTATTTTTCTATGCCCAAGTTTTCTTTGGTGGAGGGAAGAATTGTTTACACTTCTCATTGCCCTTTTTGTTGGATTTGCAACCAAATGAAAATCATTTGAGTTCCTTCCGCAACTAAATGGTGGGAATCCTACTCGGATAATCATCCACGCCCAAGTTAATAACTCATATATATATATATATTCCCGTTTCAATTTATTTATTTTTTTAATTATGCTTTTTAATTTTCTATGTAGATTTGTGGGTACCGATTTAAAAAGTTGCATTTCTTTAAAGTACATCAATCAGCAAGGAAAATTCTATGCTTCTGGGGTTGGGACATAAATAAAATTGTTGGAATCTGTTTCTAAATCCTAGGGGTTATGGATAAGAAGTGGGTTAAGAAAAGAAAGAAAGAGGGAAGATGAAAGGGTGTGTGGGGGTTATAAACTAAGAAGTTTCACATTGAACAACTAGTAAGAGGTGAAAAGGTATACAAGCTTCCACCTTACACTCTTAGATTGCCTTTGGGACACTAAATATTTTTTGGAGGAGAGAGGGGTTAGGCGGACATTGGTCCACCACATGTGCGCCACTACCACCGTCGGTTCTGTCCGATCGCGCGTGTGTGTGAGAGAGAGAAATAAAATAATTTTTTTATTAAATTACTTTATTATTTTTTGTCCAATCGTTGCTTCCCTCCAAACTCAAACTGAAACGTTGCTTCCTGCCCGAATCGATCCTTTTCTTTCGATTTTATTTCAAACTGAACCGGTGCGTTCAATTAATATTGAACCTAACCAGTCACCGGTTATACCAGTTCAAAAAATTATCCAATTTTTTGCATTGTTACTCTACTAGATTTTTGCCTCGTTCGTGCATACATGTATCCATACCATTCACGGTGTGATTCCTAAGGCATCCAGTTGTGTTCGTTCGGGCTGTTGACTGATTGTGGCCAACATTCTTTAGACACAAATTCGTTCTATCCTGGGAGGAAATTGTTCATCAACCTTCGACATCCATAGTGAGGGAACAAATTGTGTTAAGGAGAGAACATTGTTGGGCTCAGATTCTTCATCCTTCTCTGCATATTGACATCTCATCCGTACATATTGTGAGCTTGTTCTTGTTTATAATTGTGATGTGATTATAGAATTAATTTCAATACTCTGGTTTCATACGCGGATTCAAATCTCAGTGATTATATATATCACCATTTGTCTTCACTAACAATCTTAAGACAATTTGGTGTTTTGAATCTGTGTTCAGTATATTTTATTTATCTTTTTATATACTATTTTTGTGCAATAAAAGTTTGATCCCTGTGATTGATCAGACTTTCTGTTTGTGTAACAGAAATAGCAAGTGCAAGTACCAACTTGGTGAATCCTAGTGGTTCTATTCCAATGCATGCTGAGAAACCCGAAAAAATTAATGGGAATGATTTCAAGCGTTGGCAACAGAAGATGCTGTTTTATTTGACAACCCTAAGTCTAGCACATTTTCTCAAAGAAGATGCTCCTAAGTTGGAAGAAGGAGAACAACTTGATAAGGAGAAGGCTGCTGCGGTTGATGCTTGAAAGCATTCTGACTTCCTCTGCCGAAATTATATTCTCAATGGTCTAGACAACACACTGTATAATGTGTATAGTGCCTTCAAGACAAGTAAAGAATTAAGGGATAGTCTAAACAAGAAGTACAAAACTGAGTATGCTGTCTTAGAGAAATTTATAGTTATCAGGCTTTTGGACTTCAAAATGCAAGACTCTAAATCTGTGGTGAGTCAAGTTGAAGAACTTCAAGTGATTGTGCATCAAGTTCATACCGAAGGGATGACCCTTAGTGAGTCTTTCCAAGTTTCTGCTTTTATAGAAACATTACCGCCATCTTGGAAAGATTTCAAGAATTATCTTAATCATAAGCACAAAGAATTGTCACTTAAAGATTTGATAGTAAGATTGA